AAAGTATGACGATATACATAAGTACAGAGTCACGTCAAATGTATATCACAAAAAACAGACTCAACAGTAAAAGTAATATTAATAAATAAAATAATTGTGTCGTTCAAAGTATGACGGGATACATAAGCACAGAGTCACGTCAAATGGATATCTCAAAAAAACAGACTTAACAGTAAAAGTAATATTAATAAAAATAAATAAAAGAATACTATAACACGTTAATAAGATGATAAACAACGTCAGTACGCAAAATCTATACCTCAAGACCATCGCGTATTATTTGTGAAGTTGATACGGAATATTTATCAACAAGTTCTTGGTACCTTCCGATGAACTTTTTTAGAAAAAGGACGAGACGTTCTTTGACATACCCCTAGTTCATCAACTTTCTGCTCAGACACTGGTGACGTTTTACAAAGTCTGAGTAGGAGCTGCAAGCTCTTGAATACCGAATAAGTTGGGAAATGTATATCCCATATGCAGGTGAAGTTGGTATATTGCTACTAAGGTGGGGGAAATTGATAATTTCAAAATTAAAATCGTCTCGTTTGTCATAGATTCTGGTACTGAGATGACTGTGTATGTCAAATTCGAGGTATACGTCTACAAATGAGGCGGAGGAAGCCGTGTCTGTTGTTTCTTTAATTTCTAGTTCTGGTGGATATATTAATGGAACCCAATCAGAAAAGTTCGGATTGTTAATGGAAGGACATCATCAATATATCTGAAAGTGAAGTTAAATAACCTGGCTTCTTTGATCTTCTTGTTTTTGACAAGTGTCTGAAGGAACTCCGATTCATATGAAAATAAGAAGAGGTCGGCAAGGAGAGGCACACAGTTCGTTCCCATAGGAATGCCGACAATTTGTTGAAAGAGTCTACCTCCATATTCAACAAATATGTTGTCAATAAGAAACTCCAGCATACTGATCACTTGTTCCTCTGTGTAGCATGTTTTACCCTTTTGTTCACTATTAACAAAATATGCCTTATGGTATATGGTTAATACCTTGTCAAATGATATGTTTTTGTATGTGGGATTACCTGAGTGCTCATTTATTCCTATTTTTTTTTACAAGACACTCGTAGTAATACGATTTACATATAAAGACAATATTATTTGAAGCTTTGTCCGCAGGAACAACAACATACTTATCTTGAAGAGATGATAGACATTTCACAGCCTCTTTGTCTCTGAAAACGGACTTTGGTCGATCATTCACACAGTTTTTCAACTTATGAATGCGACGTTTTATCAGAGACCTGATTGTTTTGACCCTTTCTGACAAAGTGTCTAGTGGAACTTCTTCTCGTTTAACCCATGCTCTGGCGTAGTCCTCAATGGAATCCATAATTATTTTGAAGTTATCGTTCCAATTGATGTGTTGGGGTTCTCTAAACTTAGGACCATGAGAAATAACCTTTCGGAGATTTTCATTGTGAATTATGTTTAGATCCCAAGTAATAACATGGCCCGAGGGGCCGTAATTGTAAGGCGAGTGGGAACAGTCAAATGTCAGAGGGTTTTTAGGTATTGTTCTAAATCAAGGTCCTGTAATGCTTGTTTAGAGTTAAATATTTTGGGTGCAATGGTTTTGGTGTAACTGTAGGATACAATAGGAACAGACTGATTTTGAAAATAAATAGGAATTTTAGATGTTACCTTCTTGTGATGTAGAACGTTGCTGATGTTGATTGCATCAATTCTTCTATTGGTTATAAAGTAAACAGGAAGGAATTTCCTCTTTTCCTCATGTAAAGGTTCCGATTTTACTGGTTTAAAAAGACGGAAAAGAGCTACATCACAAATTATACTGACAAGTCTGTATATTGGAGAAAATGTATTTATGCATCCTTTGTCAAGTGCATAATCTCTCAAACATTTTAGAAAATTAACAGGCAGTGAAAAAAGAATAGTTCTAATGTAATGTAACCCTAGCGGATGATGAAGATAAGAAAGAAAGAAGGTCATCAAAGCTCCCAGAGGGCGATCTAGATTTGGAAGACTTTTATACATTAGGCCGATGGTAACGTTTTTGCCCATGACTACGTTGGTTTCGTAAGGTAGTGTTAAATAAACTCATTACATTAACATCACTGCAGGCTGGACTTGACAAATTTCCTACTCCTTTGACATTATCATTGCAACCATATTGCATTGCAGTACCTAGTTCCCTTATCCAGAAATTTTCTCTATCTTTTCGGAAAGGAGTACTAAGTACAGGGCTATTTGTGTGGTGATAAATTTTCTCGATGATGCGTACTTTCATAGATAAAGACGGATCATGGTCCGGTTGATTAAAATGGTTATAAAGAACCCTGAATTGCGGATCTTTATTATCAGACCGGTGTTGATTCATCCTTTTACGCAAAGTTTGTCGAGTTTCACCAACATAAAGTAGTCCACACAAAGTACACTCAATTCCGTACACGACATTGTCCGTCGAACAGTCCAGAGGCTCGAAAGATTTAGTATAATACGTTTTTCCTATTAAACTACTGGTAAAAACGAGAGTCGTGATTATTAGTCGTTCTATTTCTTCATGAAGTTAATTGGAAGGTAGGTTTTGATTGTTATCTCTTTGTTCTTTGTTTAGGGGACAAGGAGTCTTTTTAATTTTTCTCTCACTAATTTACCAATGTAATTATTGTCCAAACTTTCCGGACACACGTTCAGATTATGAATGCTGGATGCAAGAATTACTAAAAAAATGTTTAACCCCGCCTTATATTGTATGTGCCTGATCCATGCCAGGAATCTGTTATTCAAGGGTTTTCGCTTGCTACTGTATATCATATTTGTTTTTCGTTTGTTGGTATTTTAACATAAATCAGGCCGTAAGTTTTTTATTTGAATTGTTTTACATCTATGATGTTGCGGCCTATAATAGGTTGCTATGCAGATTGGGTTTTGCTCATTATTGTAGGTCGTACGGTGATCTATAGTTGCTATATATATCGTATTTTTGGTCTCTGGTGGAAAATCACCACATTCGCAATCAAACCACATCTTCTTATTCTAAAATTCATACATCTTCTTATTCTAAAATTCATAATCTAGTCAAAATTTTTATCTCAAACAACTACAGGCTCCCATTCCCCTCTCTTTTCTAAAAGATAGGAAAGCTAAATTTCAGAACAGATCTGTGCTTGATTTTTGTTTATTTTGCCTATGTGAACTATGTATTACCGAAACATAAGTTTATTAAACCACATACTTTATTTACCTCACATAAAGATAATTTTGTATAGTAATTATTCTTGAATATTTTTATTAATGTTAAATGCGGTGACCTGTTATTGTGTGTCGCTTCTGCGTCTTCTAGTTCAAAACAATCAATATGGGTCTCTTTCCTAAACATAGTATACAATCTGTAATTTGTTATCCTGCAATGCATTTCATTGTGTGTTCGTTAAAGAATAATTTGGAAAACAAACGTTATTGACCAAACAGGTCGGTATATGTCATTTAATCTGCACGGCTGGGATGACCCTACTTGACCCGAACGACGTAGGAGTTCGGGTTTATGTGTCCAGACCGTGCAGATTAAATGATATAAACCTATTTGCTTGGCCAATATAGTTTTTAACCTCTTATTATTATTATTATTATTATTATTATTATTCAGGATAAAGAAAGGGGTGAAATACGGCTGTATGTAGAAAAGGTTTGTAACGTTTAAATTATTAACCCTTTTTTATATTCAGTTTGTTCCCTTAATTGTTACATTATTTGGAGTATTGCGATTTAATTCCGTTTTTTTTACCGTTTTCTGTTAAAGTTATTAACATTGTTTATATAAATTTGTGACGATTTTTAACCTGGCATATTTTGCAGACAACTATCTATTGTTGAACACTATATGTTGCCCTCTAGATGTCCTTAGGTTGTTTTTTGTCGTTTGATTGCTGTCTTATTGACGGATAACCCACATCTCCTACAGTTTTAGTTTCGTTTGATGTACCTTTTAGTTGATTTGTGATAACACATAACTGAAATGGGTGCTGAGTATAGATTAATTGGTTTTTTTTTCCTCAAGAATATGCTTAGAGGAAGGTGATTCGAACAGAGATGTACCTGAATGTAAAGTGCAAAGTAAACAGAAACATATCAATCTTCAATTTTTAACTTTTACCTCCCCCCCCCCTCCCCCAAACAATTTTTCTACTGTACTAATTTTAAACATGTCCATCTAAACGTAGTCTGATTGATCAGCAGCTTATGTCTTCCCCTGTTTTGGCACATACTTTAGTGTGACGTCCATTTATGCTGAACTAGAAAATAATTGTTTAGGGGACAGCTGAAGCCCGCCTCCGGGTGCGGGATTTTCTCGGTGTGTTGGAGACCAGTTGGTGGCCCTTGTTTGACACATTCCCCGCTTCCATTCTCAATTTTATTTAAATATGAACCGCTTTAAATTCGATCAAAAAATAGTCACTATAAATATATCTCGTTTAGCATAAAACCGCTACACTCGGCGGTATTTTTTTAATTTTATAAAATTATGCTCCCTTTTGAAAAATCCTGGATCCGCCCCTAAAGGTAAGATTACTTTTGAATTATGCAGTATATCTGAGGTAGTTCATGCACACCTTAGCTGTGCATTATCCATATTAGAGCACAGAGAGAACAAAGAGATTTTGCTTATGTCATGTGTTAATTGAAAAAAAAAGGTAGAACCAATATATAATGGTTAAAACAGTACAAATAGGAATAAAAAATGTTATGTGTTGTTGATAAATAAAAGTGTATGAGATAGATATAACCATTTAACATAATTAACATCGTATTCAATGAATCTTACGAATCAGATTGTGTAATGTCTACCGAGATAAATTATTTCTGTTAAACACAATGTTTGACAATCACTTTTTCAAATATATTTCTATGCCATTACACTATTCATGAGCATACTTAACCCAATCAAAGGTCGATACACAACAGCAAAAAATACACCTTTAAGAGTGTATGTGTGTTGTCTATTGATTAAAGCATTTTTTTGATAAAATGTACAACGTTTTCTTACATCATTATGTGAAGTAAATATTGACTTACGAGTGAAAAAAGCATGGTGGTGTTCCACTAACATAATCAGGATAATGACATCTTGTCATACGCTGATCGATTACTTCTGGGAATAAGTTATTATAATAATCTGCTATCATACGGAATAGTTCATTAGATACACACGGAATTCACATTAAGTAAATATTGGAAATGAAGAGGGTAAGTAAATGTTATTGGAATAATAGAATATGGTGTCCTTTGCGATAATTTAAAATATAAACGAATACATACAAAGTACATATAGCTTTTGTTTTGAGCTATACTAATTACCAGATTAAAAGTTCGTACTACCATAACTAAAGCTTTCCGTGTTAACTGTGGTATACAGTCTTTCTTAATATAATAATTGTCCGTATACTTGATTTTAGTTTTTTTTTTTTTTTTTAATATGATTTCATTATTGTGTTGCCCCACGTATTTGTTTGGTATGTTCTACAGATTTTTATTTACAGATTATTTTATTAAATCAAAGATTGTTTTTTTAAGCGAAAAATAACAAGTAAGTAACAAGAAAAGAAAGAAACCAATGAAAACCTACTCAATTCAAATCAAATCAAATATAATTATCTAAAGCCTCAGTTAATTTAAATGTTTCACTATAACGAATGGTGGTACATGTCAGTGCCGTGTATAATACATAAGTGCCTTGATTTTTAACCTAATCCAAATTTAATAGAATTGGACGTTTTATACATTCTTTTGTTAAAGAACTGGGTGGCCATTGTTGAATTTCGTTTTATGTCTTGCATCAATCTCAGCAGTAGGGATATGCTTGGGACAATGACCAAATGTCACTGACAAATTCCTATAAATGTTCCCCATTTTTCTTTTCTTTATGTTTTTTTTTGTTGTTTTTGTTTATTTCTATTCAAAACATGTCATGATTACCTATCTTCTCTTTACCTTCATTTTAATCATTATTTACATATGCAGCCACAAATCTAAAACCAAATTGCCGGAAATACGAAGTGACCTTATCATCATATAAAGCGCCGTCAAAATCGGTTTGTTTAATAACGCACATGCTTTGAAATTTTAACAGCTAATAGTAGTGAAGCTCTTATACATGTATATGAATGACTTAACCTTTAGCAAACACAACAACAAAGCAGTCATTTAGAGTTTGTTGAACTGACGGCCTTCTATTTTTCTGATAAATAGGCACTTTCATCATTTCATATGTCAAGCTCCGGGTCATTAAACATTAATTAATGAAGAAACATGAATATGTGTCCACAGTGCAACATGACCCGGCAGGAATATTTGTATATGTCCATGTCCAATGATCTACGAAATCTTGGTAAACCCTTACTTGGCATATTTTTAAGAAAAACAAATCATATCATTATTATGATAATTCACATATGCACTATAAATCTCACGATGAGGTCACCATAATGCCTTATACGTTTGTATTTTGTTAACAAGAAAATACATGTTTCCACTAACTCTACCTTCCCTTATTTATGTGCCTACCATAGAAATTGTTTTGTCATGTTTGAACAAGCACTCTTAAGGTCAGACGTTCCCTTCTGTATAAACCAGTCTAAAACTTGAAAAAAAATTTCTCTAATTCTATGGAAATTTATCCCTTTCCGAACCCATTGTATAAAAAAATTTAATCAACGTGTGGTTGCCAGTGATCTCAGAAGATGATTGGATGCATCAAAATATGCTAACAGGTGTTAATGAAATTGACAACTTTATGGAAAGTGGAAGGCACTCGAAGGGGATTTTAGTTTAGCAAAAAAGGAAAATTTATTTTTTAATCATTAGAGAAACAGATTCTTACATAGTTACTCGTGGATTATCGGATTTATCCAATCTCGATAGTTAAATTATAAATTTTAAAGTCCTCGCCGAGGCTCGGACTTTAAAATTGATAATTTAACTATCTCGATTGGATAAATCCGATAATCCACTGGTATCAATGTAAGAATCTATATATATATAACTATTTGCCTACCTACCTCCTTTATTATTTTTCAGCATGTTATCAGAAACACAGGTATCATTTTTAAGCCTAACTTAATTGTAAAAAAGAGGCAAAAGATACCAATGGCACATTCAAACTCACGCCATGGCTAAAAAAGAAAAAGACCAACAGACACAAAACACAACATAAAAAATCTAAAGACTGAGCAACACGAACCCCACAAAAAACTGGAGGTGATCTGAGGTGCTCCGGAAAGGAAAGCAGATCATACTCCACATTTGGCACCCGTCGTGTTGCTCATGTTAGTACAAACCCGGTAATAAGTCTAATTCGGTAGATCACATTCGGGAAAAATAATTGTAAATTATCTTAAAATGAAACTTATACCTGATACGACATTTGTTCCACTCACAGGGTCAAACATTACAAGTTGTCAAATCCGAAGTCACTGGCTCGTTTTAGAACTGAGGGCAGAAGTGTTATAATTGTTCATGTGTTCATTTATCATCAATTGAAATGTTATTTCTATGTTATATTGTGGTTGAATTCTTTGTCACAAACAACAAAGGCATATGTTCATATGACAATTCAGTATTAGTATGTATTTTACGTACGCTAGAACCCGCAAGATTTCAAATTGATATACAAAAAAAAGGAGTTCTTGATTACAGATGAGGGGATTTGAATTTGTCACTTTGTCACTTAATTTTTGTTTAAATAAAATATACATGTAGGAACGTTCATTGATTGCAAAGTTTTTTCGAAACCTCTGATACATGAAACATGATATATTCACTGATTGAGATCAAACGATGAGATGGGAATAAAAGCAGTTACATCGCAACTTAGTTCTTAAACTTGGGTGTGATCAAGTATTATGTATAGACAATAATAGTGCATTGACTTGACATATCAACGATATAAGGATGAGGCTTAGAAACGGGGAAATGCGAGGCTCTGCCGAGCTTTTTCCCCGTTTCGGGCCGAATCCTTATATCGTTGATATGTCAAGTCAATGCACTATTATTGTCTTTATACTGCAATCTAAAAAAAAACCATTTTCAATTGTTGTTTAATGTGTTAATGTTATTATTTGATTTAAATATTGGGAAACTTCCCCCTTTTATAAAAAGGCCTCATATCATGCAGGCGGAGAAATATACAACACAAATGAAATGTACATTACCTGTTGAAACCCGCAATCGATGGTGAAGGAATTTGTTTGAGAATGAACTAAAATATCAACAATAAACATAAAACATAATGATTTATAGTTTGCAAACCAAAAATATTAACAAATGAAATATGTATTTTTTTCTAAAAATTGCAAAAGAAATAAGTTTGAGTCGTTGTATACATTGGAAACAAGAACAGGTGGAATAGGTCGTATGAATAATTAATTATAATTTCGGCAATTTCTATTTAAATGTTCATGAGGAAAAGTGATATCAGGTCAGTGACTGTATATGACATAGAAATATACGGTCAACGCATTTTGACTGCTCAAGTAGAACGAGTGCAGTATAAATATATTTAAACTGATATGAACGAGAGGTTTCCGAGAGATTTCGTCACTGGTGCACATTTTCAAGGTAATAAGATCAATAGTAATTTGGTGAGTCCAGAAGGTACACATCCCTATACTTATCTACGTTCACTTTCTCTTAAATGGAAACAGCAACGCAGAAAAAGTAATGAAAGGTGTTATATAAATACAAAATGTTTTTTTATCGAGGCTTATATATGTTTCTATCCTGTTCCACAAAAGTTTGATTACAAGTTAGTTAAATGCTGAATAACGTGACTGTCGTATTTATAGTATTATATATATTCTACATTAAACATCCAGTTTCCTTTTCTAAACGGCCAAGGGAATTGAGGGTGAGGTCCTTTGGTGCACTGATTAATTTGAAATATAAAATTGCATGCATATCTTTTGTAATTAAGAATTTCAAATATGTATATAAAACATGTAATGGATAATTACCAGGGATAATAATTGTCGTTAAACAGGAACACTGTAACAAAGACCACCCATGCACTCCCCTTCCCCTCCCCATTACACAGTTCAAGAACCGCGCAAAGTTGCACTTGAGTGAACAGGGCTTTTTTAAAGTCCTTTTTAGTTGGAGTGTTCCTTAAGAATTCAATTACTTATACATCCTCGATTTTCAATTTTATTTTAGGTTGGAGAGTTCCTGATGTAGGTAAATCTAGAAAAGCGCGTCGGACTCAATCAACTATAAACATATATTATCAAAAATTATTTCAAGAAATGACATATTTCAATAGAGCTGTAGAGAAAACTAGCTTATACTTTTTGTCTGATTTTCTTTATATTATTTCACTATGGGTATAAAATATATATAATACATATATTTTAAACAAATCCACCAAATGAATTATCCAATATAACATGTATAATGTCATAAACAATTGAATTTGAGGAGCCTTTTGGGGTAGAGTTTGAGTTAGAGTCGAATATGAGTTTCGTTTAGATGAAGATTTCGAGTTAAAATTGGAGTTATCTAATATGAGTTCGTCACGGTATTTAAATTTTTCTATCGAAGATCAAGGGCTTTTGCTCGGGCTTCCGAAAAGAGGGCTGAGGGGTATTTGTACAAAACATAAACAAAGATACAGTATACAAAACACAACATAGAAATTGAAATAAAGTTGGATGTGAAATGATTGCCAATGAGATTACTATCTACTAAAGTTTAAATGTCACAGTAATGGATGTTAGCAATCATAGGCAACCGTACAGCCTTCAACGCACCGTATAGTAAAAAAGGCTACAAAGGCCACCGTGTGAAAATGTGAAACAATTCAAATTTATAACAAAACAATCTACGGAAAACAAATTTGACACACATGAAACAATGACAACCATTGAACCACAGGTTCTTCAAGTGTCTTGGGCAGGCATATACAGAAAGTGCACGTGGTGGAGTTTGACATGTATGTGATCGCTAAACCCTAACCTAAACTCGGACTGTAATGTAACAGCACAACATAGGATAATGTAAAAAAAAGTTCCAATAGGCTTAAATCAATAGATCGGTATTACTGGGTAATAATAATCCATTGGTGATGATCTCGCGTGCTCCAGAAGGTTAAGCAGATTCTGCTCAACGTGTGGTAGCCGTCGTGTTATTCGTGAAAGTATAAACCCAGTGATTTGGTTGTATTTGGTAGTTCCCGTTCGAGGAAAAGATGACGGGGTTGTGGTATGAAAACTGGAACATATCCGTCGTCACTTGTGAAACAGATATTCCAAAAAGTTTGTTGTTTCAATTAGTGCGATATATATCAGAGTATGCAATTTATAATAATAACAGATTGATATTCGTATATGTTCAAATAATTATACACGCTAAAAAAATAAAAGAATTCATATTTTATAGAATTGATGTTTGTCGCGTATTCCGATCCCCCCCCCCCCCCCCCCCCCCCCACCCAACTTCCCTGTAACTTTAGTGTGAGTTGATTTAAAGTGTCTCATTGCCGACAATAAAGTACAAGTCTTTTGATTTTTGTGTTGAACCTGGGACATTAATGTAGCGGCAGTGAGACACAACAAACCTATATTTCGTTGTGGTTAGTGGCGTCGGCGTCTTCATCATTTAGATTGTCAGGTTTTTTCTCGTTTAAATTGTTTTTACATTTTTCATTTCGGGACCTTTTATAGCATACTATGTGGTATGGGTTTTGCTCATTGTTGAAGACTATACAGTCAAATATAATTGTTTAAAACTTTTATGTCATGTGGTAAATATTTGGTTGAGAGTTGTCTCATTGGCAATCATACCACATTTTCTTATTTCTATATAGGTTTTTTTTTTGCATTTAATATTACCGAATTAGACTGTTTTGGTATGATAAATTTGAAAAACTCAATTGATTAGTATAAAACTTGTAAAGGAGTTATTCTTCAAGATCAAGATAAAGCATCTACAGAAAAAAAATTTCTTTTTTTAATTTTGTATTTACCGATAAATGTACAAATAAATGTAGTCAAAATTACGCTTTTACACTGACAGCAGCAATATCAGGCGAGACGAGAATTCCGTGGAATCTTTCACGAATTATTATATATACTGCTTCCATTTGAGAACTAAGAAAGAAAAAAAACGGCTGGACCAAATTGTTTAGGGATGTCCCCCGTATGGCCGAAAGACTGAAACATGTTTAGAACTTTTTTCTTATTTTTGTCTGCCGTTCCCCTTTTTCATACCGAATAACTCTGAACAACAAGTCGAACTTTAATTTGAACTTGAACTCAATGGATGGCGAAACTCATTCAAAGGACATAAAACAAACGACATAGTGAAATCGGTTTAAATATAGAACTAGTTTTTCCGAAATGGTCACGTGGTTTTACCTCCACCACGTAATGTGATAACCACATCAAAGAATGAAAGGACCACATCAAATACTGAAACAAACACATCATGTAGTGTCAAATCGTCAAATTTTAAACGATCATTACTTAATGTTAAAACCATATAAAGAATTGGCAAATCATCATTACGAAACAACAAAACCACATCATGTAATGAAACAACTACATTACGTTAAGTCACATACACATTAAGTAATGTTAAAACCACATTGCCTAATGAAACAACCACATTAAATAATGGTGAAACCACATCGACTAATGACAAAGCCACATTGATTAATGAGAAAACCATATCAAGTAATGATACAACTATATCAAGTCAATACGAAACCATATCGTGAAATATCGAAATATCATTAAGTAATGACTATGCCGTATTGAGTTATATCAAAACATCATTATGTAAAGACAACATATCATCAAGTAATAATAAAACAACATAACGTAATATAAGAGTTCCACATAAGACAGCTATAATTCTGTTACTCCACTGGATGGTAACATTATTTGTTTTAATTCAATTGGGCCATTATATGGTTTGTACATAAAAAAATACACAGGTAGGATATCTGTTATACTAACTCAAGTATTCAAATACTTATACTTTCTGGATTTTGAATTTGTTGTTTGATCATTCTTGATGATATGTCCAGATGAGCGATGTGACCGCATAAAATGTAGAAAGTGCTATTTGCATTGATAAATATGGGAATGCGATCATTCGGACTTCTCCCGTTTGATGGTTAGGGACATAGCGGGATGTATAATTACCCAGTCACGTTCTGTCGGTATGGGGCCATTAAATTCTTTATTTCTAGTAGGTAACATGTAACACTCTCTGCAAGTAAAAGACCCTTTGAAATAAATCCACGAATGACCCATATGTGACCAATTGCAAGGCAATATTTTTGTTTATATCGAACATACATTCTTATTGTAGTTATTGTAGTAAAAATCCAAATGTTCCTCTCTTTTTTTATCAGTTGATTTATTGTTTATATCATGCGAAATTAATCCGATCTCGACTTGAGTATACATAAAATATTTGCCACTGGAATATTAGCAAAATTAGCAATCAATCAATTTTTTTTAGATCGACTTTTGAAATGACGTTGTTCATGTGACATATTAAAACAACAAACAGTAACATTATAGATCGTCGTTTTCTGTTTTTTTATTTGTTATTTTGTGGTTAGAAGCAGGTTTGAGAAAATTGTGGTATTTTGGCTAGATCTTGAAGGTAGAAAGAACGTTAACATTTATGTAATGTCGAACAAAAATTAAATCCACGTGATAATATTTGTATTCCCCAGTCAACCCTTCGTGTTTTAGTATGAATGAGACTTAAAATGTATTTAAATAAATAAAAATGTTCTCAGTTGTTTGCAGTTGTTATTACTTTCACGAATACTCTTTCTCATCCTGAAAATGATTGGATTATTTGCCACTGGACGTTCAGCAAAGATTAATTTTATGATTAATCACTTTTCTTCGGAAAATCAGATCCGTTGTTCTTTAACATTGATTAGAATATCAATAAATCAGAGAACAGTTACCCTTAGTCTATTTTATTAAGCGGTGTTAATTTATTCCTTATTTTGTATAGATCGGGATCACATTTTTTTGTCTCTCCAATCTAATTAATATATAGATCTGTGATATCGCTATGCTCATGACAGTGACGAGTACGCGAGTTTTAAATGATCTGAATTTCAATAATATCAAGTTTCTCAAATCTAGGATTTTTACACTATGCTAACAATATAGAAATTGGAAACTAAGTTTGCAACCATTTAAACATCACAGGGATGACATGCATTTCTACGATTTATTTCGAAATAAGGATAAACGTCGATTTTGACTCTTTCGGGAATATATTTTTATTTCAATGAAAAACATATACGTGTAAAATTTCTCCCTTTGTCATCAAGCTATTGTTAAGTTAAAATTTCTCCATATCTGTCTTCGGTTCCTACATATCAGTGTGGCTTTACTTATCGTAGCTTTTATGAGATATATATTACGTGACTAACAATCATGAATCACTTAAACAAGAAATGCATAAAATGCAGAGACATGGAGATAACGCTTTTCGTACACAACACATTCATACTCACGTGTTAGTAGAATTACAGAAAAGTATGTTAAATATGTGAAGGAGAGGCAGTAGATACCGAAAGGATATTCAAGATCATCAATAGAAAACAAAATGACAATTCCATGGCACAAAAAGAAAAGAAAACAAAGTCCACACAACATTACGCACACAACTAAAGACTGTGCAACACGAACCCTGCAAAAACAAAACAATACTCCGGAAGGGTGAGCAGATCCTGCTCCACATGTTGGAACCGTCTACATTTAAAGTGTCTCCCTTATTATTTGACTTCTTGTAGAGGTTATTTTGAATAATAAATCTGTATTATATAATTTTCCAGATTTGTTATAAAATCTTAAATTTCATAATTGTACCTTAAAATACTCTTTTGTTAATCTATTTCACAAAATACTTACACAATTCAAATATGCAAAAATGCGATTGCAACTTAAAGTATACTTAAGAAATAATTCATGGAGGCTTGAATTTATACTGATTTTACCACGGGTTGGCCCTTTATGCTAAATATTTTACCACGAGCGACATTTTCAGTCGGAAAGCTGACCCCGGTTTGACCCCATTTCTTAAAGCAACAATTGAAGTCATGTGACTACCATATTTGGGCATTTTTTGTCATTTTTTTCTTCAACTGAAACGAGTCTGTTTCCTCAAAAAAGTCATATCAAATGAGTTCAAAGCATGCTATACGTTATAAAAGCCAACCGTGTATACTTTCTAGAAGTTCTAACATACAAATTGTTTTGATTAAGCGTACTGAATTAGAATACGAAGCCTTCAAATCCAAGGTCGTCACTCGTCGCGTCAATTTTTTTCAACATATAAGTGGAAAATTCTTTCTTACCTTCTGGGGAACCTATGCTGAATTTAAAATATGTGATGAGGATTTTTATGAACTGGCCTGTGTCAAATTTGTGCCACTTAATACGCTGTAATACGCAAATGTGCCACTTCGATATGTCGAAATTTCTGACGAAGCGGTGCCGATAGTAATTTACGAGTTACGTCCCTTTGTTGACACTTTTCACGAACAAACTTATTTCTACTATTATATATATATTTGCATGTTATGCAGTTATTCACAAGTGAATATTATTAAAATAATTAATTATCTTTTTACTAAATATATTTTGATGCTACAGACATATGTAAAACAGTTAGGTAAACACATTTTATCATTTTTAAACAGTTTCAGAACTGAAATAGGGCTTTAATATTTTAGTCAATGTTACTCTGTGCCATAATATATTATTCCAAGATCTAGAGTTACTTTAATATTTTGGTAAATATCTTTCTTGCTGTAACCAAAATTATTATCAACACAGAAATAAATTTCTACTACGTAAAGACTAGGGCTAGCCAAAATATGCATGAATACTGGATCTAGACAATGGGTCAAAATGAATTCCCTTTCAGTACTAATACTTGAAAAAAAATAATAATCAAAGTGTTCTCAATGTAAATTCTTCATAATATGAAATAAAAGGAAATTGGTTTGCAATCTGACTTTGTATAACTAAACTATTAAAATAATATAACAACTTTTTGCAAGTTCTACTGAATGGAATCAAATCATAAAAATAAGCCTAACGTTAAACCAATTGATAATTATTTTTAAAAATGGTTAATAATCATGAACTTGCGAATGAATAACATGGAGAAAGATTCGATCTCATATTTTTCTTCTTCTATTTAAAAAAATATATAACTATGCATATTAAAAGTATTTCAGAGCAGTTTCTGAGTGCTAAGTTAATATCATAATTATGTTTTAGATCACATGTAATAATGAAAATGCTAAATGAATAAGAGTGATTAAAATGCAAGTCTAAAAGAGATTGTTTAAGTTCAAAGGACAAGACTTTAATGTTTCCATTAGACATGTAATATTTGCATACATTTACTTTTGCAGGATTCCTTCGACACCAAAAACTAATATTTTAAAACAATAAATGATTTTTTCCAGTCATCTTAAATTCATGATAGCCTATGGATGGACAAAAGCACAAAAAATAGCAATAGAAAGTGCATTGGAAAGAAAATTTCTGGAGGAAAAAACATATGAAAAAGGAAATGACGGTCAGTTAATTATATTTATATTTTATAAGTTCAAAACCTTGCTTATTTAATTATCTCTTTACTAAGTAAGCTACATTAATAAGAGCAAAAACTAGCTTATCAAGTCAAACAAGAAGTTAATTCATAGAGATGTGTTCTTACAAAATTGAATTTATTCAAATGGCAAATTCTTGTCAAATTTAATAATCCATAACGATTGCTCATTAAGTAAAATGCACACGATTTGTCCCACCAACTTTCATTTGTGATATAAATATCCAATTATTCAGGTAAAATATACAATATTTTGTTTATAATTATGTAAAGCTGCTGATACAGCAACCTGTGAAAAAGAAGCCCCTTTTTTCAAAAGTTTACTTTCACAATCTATAAAATACCCTGAGAAATTAGACATGGGCTACTGTGCTAGCTACTCTAATAGTTGAATTTTACGATAATAATGATTTTAAAACTCAAAATTATGTCATTTTCACTTTTATTAAGCATTTTTTTTTTACAGAATTTCTGTCAATATTTTTGGTAAAATTATCCTTTTTCTGTAGGATATTTTCTAGGCAGTACAGTACTGTTCAACTAAGAAACATAGGCTTGAGTTTAAAGGCTCTTTTACTTTGAAGTAACTTATTGTGACCCGTGGTCCCGTACTCTACTACATGTACTATTTATTATTTTCATTTTCAGAAAGATTATTCAAGTTGTATAAAATATGTTTTATTGCATTAATAATTATTAGAAGTGTTTAAAAAAAATTCTACTAGGAGTGATCCCATAAGGCATATACCATTATAAAAATTACTAATTTAATTTCATTAGCCAGAGCTAATTTATATCAATATAGCTAACGTTAGGTTTCTACAGCATGTACATGATTGGTGACAGTTTTTAATTTTTACTTTTTTTTTCTCTTTTTATTTTTACATCTAATCCTTCTCTGAAAAGTAGGGAAGTATCTCTTCTTAATATTATAATAACATAGTTGTAAATCGAGTTTCGTTTATTTTCTTCTTGATTTTTGTAAAATAAAAGCCTTTGTATTTTATTTTTGCTGGGTTTTCATTTTTGACTGGTGATATCAAGGGGAGATATTAACCACTTGCACAAATCGGTAAAAAAACTACCGCTTCGTGTTGGAAATAACTTGACGTTTGCGTATCCAAAATTCTCTTGCCTAGATATTCATATCGAGCGTTTGTCTTAATGAAATGCTTTATTAAATTTAAATTCAGCCCATCATTTTTAGTTTCCTCGAAAATATTTAGATTTTTCGATCATGACACTTGACAATTTTCACACAAACATCAAGTTTGAAGATAAAATAAAGAATAAAGGGCTTTGAGTTGGTGTGTAAGTTTTGACGAGATAAAACTATGAATATTCAAGATTATTTTCATCAATAAGTTTTTACTATGACATTTGTATTTTGGTGAGTAAAAATGAGGTTTGTCTCATCCGTAGTTTTACTGAATTTTCACGGTTACGTGACCTCTATTGTTGCTGATAGACTTGGGGTCAAACCGTGACCTGCTTTCCAACTGGGAGTACGATCGGAACAGCACAAACAATATATTCGTATTTTACCACAGGTGTGTACTCAAAGCGTTTGAAGAACGTCATGTTAGAATAACCAACAAAATACACCTTTACATTAAACATGTTGAATGTAAGGGCTTACACATGTTATGTCCCAGTGCTGTTTCTTCTTTTCGTCTTTTCAGGATATCGGATGTCGTGAAAGTTACTTAAATTGTCCACAAAATCAATTGTAATCCGGATAAACATGTAAATTGTATGGACACTTCAAGACTCGGTACTGTTTCGTCTTCATCTTTTTCTCTTGAATATCAGCATTGTCATAACTATTTAAACTGTTGCATTCTATTGTATAACATTTCTTTAATTTTACATTACAGTGAATCAAATTGTTAGGAAGAATAGTAATATCTGCAGACAACCTCATATGAAGGAGGCAAATCAAGTAAACAAAACCTCAGAAAAGAAGACTGGTTATATCTACAGACCTCCTTATACGAGGGAAAGGTGGTAAACAAAACGGAAGAAAGGCTGAGATCACCTCATACGATGGATGCATAGCTAGTAAACAAAACTTCAAGAAGGCTGGTAATATCTGCAGACCTCATCATATGAAGGAGGAGGATCTCTTTCGTGATCTTCAATGTTTTCTGACCATGATGCTAGTGGGTGTGAGTCTAAGTCAGAGTTATCTTGTGTGGTTTCCTGTAATTGCTGGTCACGCATTGTTTCTGAATTGTCATTTGCAAATGATGCGGCCCATGTTTGTATGTCGGGAATATGACGAACGTCTCTGATGATTTCTGAATTACCCGGACCTTCGTCGCTGGATTCAGACCCTGTCGGTTGGTCGGCCTTTCTTTGATATATATTGTTCTGCATGTATTGCATATTTATAACTACAATAAAAAGAAACTTTATCGGCGAGGAATTATATACTGATTGTTTCCCACTTTTTTAACTATTGAGATGGATATAAGTTTATAAGTGCCATATAAAAAGTTATATCAGAATTTTTCGTTTGTAGTTATTTTTTTTTTTTTTTTTTGCTTAGTCTATAACCTTATATTAAAAAAGAGCATCACCTTTTCTAGAGAGAGAACACTTCACTACAAACACAATCTTGTTTGGAAAAACCATACCTATATTTCTATTGGAGATAAAACATGGATTGTTTAACTATGCACTATCGATTCCCTTATTCTGAACTGCTGGTTTGCTAATAATTGCTCATAAAGTGTGTTTAAACCAAGTAAATAGTTTAAATATAGTTCTACTAAAATATTTTTAATAGCAATAATTTTACTGCAAAAATACTTGATGTAAAGCATGTATTTGAGAGTAGCAACTGTTTCAAAATGTTTGTCTCTAAACTAAAAAGATACATTTGCTATTATAATTCAATAGGAGTGTGGAGACAGAACAGTGACATGTACTAATATCGTGTAGAAATCTCGTTGTAAAGGGTGATGCACTTTTGCACTTGGTAAGCAATTGTAAAGCTATCTCTAATGTTATCAAAAGTGGACTTATAAAATGTATAACAACACGGTATGTAGATTTACAAAAAAAGTTTTAAATAATATTGTTTTTTTTTTTTTTTTTAATAATGCATATACACCACTTCTATATAAGTAAAACGAATATACTAGTTCATTAACATGTTTAACCCCACAACGATCTTTATGTGCATACCCTAAATCAGAAACCTGTCATTCACTTCTTAATGTTGGCTTTTATCTGTCATATTTGCTTTTCGTTTGCTGTTCTTTAATACACGAGGCCGTTGGTACATATATTTTAGTTTGAATTTTTTCTTGTCGGTTTTTTTTGTAACTGACAATGAGGAAAGAGTTTTCTCATTGTTTAATGCCTAACGTCACAAATCATTGCTTAATTCTACATAATATGTATTTAAAAAAAAGCATTAATCATCGTTATTGTCAGCATCGTCAATATCGTCGTCATTGTCATCATCGTCAATATCGTCGTCATCATCATTATAAGTAATATCATAGTAGTCATCATTATTATCCTCAAATTCCTCGTCGTTATTATGATTATCGTCATCACCATCATCATCGTCGATGTCATCATTGCCTTTGTCATCGTCATTGTCGTCGTCTTCATCATCATCATAATAACGTAAATTACAAAATTTGAATAAATCTTAAACCAGCCATATAAATGTCTATTTGACTAAATTTAATTACCACGCCTTGGTTCGCTCTCCTCACTAGTTCTTTTACACTTATATTTACAAAAACATCCACACATCATTATTAAAATAGAGGAAATTATTAGGGCAATGATTACTGTTTGGTTTTCACTATCATCGTCATCATCATCAGATGGCGAGTTCCAATCCGTGTCATCAAAGCCTTCGTTCCATGACGACCATTCTGCAATAAAATGTAACAAAGCGTTTGAAAATACTACCTAAAAATGTTCATTGGGAAATAGATAACCATTTGTACCACTCGTTAATTTTCTTTTTGATTTGGCATTTACACTGTCTTAATTCGAACGCCACTAGTTAGTCTTATGTAGAGAAGCATTCATCTGGCGTACCAAATTATAGGCTTGGTATCTAAGATGAGTTTCAGAAAGACATAACAAAAATGTCTTTTCAATATTCGTTATTGAAAAAAAGATATTCAACATGACATGGGATCGTGTCATCACAATCGGTGTTCAATGTGAAGGACACGATTAACACTGCAAAGATTCTCGAAAACTGAATACATTGAATATAAGGTTTACTACTAATGAAAAAAAATGCAGTTCTTACAATGCTGCCTTAGATTAATACTAATTTATGAACTGCACAACTCGCACATTTCGTAAAGGGACTTTCAATTTTTTTTTCAAATAATGTCAACTGCTTAACATTATAGAAATGAAATATTTAACTATTAACCTTATGATGATCACAAATGTACAGGTTGATATTTTGAAATTGAGCATATTGAGCTGTTATTGCATATGTGAAATGCAACAGAATCAGAATGTTCTACGTAAATTACTATGTTGGATTTTATTTGTCAAGTTACGTAAAAAAAAAAAAAAAAAAAAGATCGCCAAACTGTATTCTCGTCTTTGACTTCTAAACAGCGTGACGTAAGGAGTACAATAACGCCGCCAGACGAATTAAGCAGCCGTGATTAGTCTTATAATAATAATAATAATAATAATAATAATAATGACAATGATAATGCTGATGATAATAATACTAGTAATAATAATATCAAAAATAATAAATTCTTTGTTTAAAGAGGGTACCTCAATTACGTTCGGTTTTAGAAAATATAAATATTGACAAAAATCTAAGATACATTTTTTTATAAAATTGTATTAATCCAAAATTAATCATAATTCGTTCCATGTAGTTAATTTTCCTTTTTTGAGACAGTGATGTGCCTTTGGCACCATCTTACGGTGTTTAAACATCATAATTAGTACGTTTTGCCCGTGTCTGTTGTAACGTTTTGGATTTCAATGATCGTAATCTATGTACTACTGATAAATTATTAAGTCAAGGATTCATGGCTCTACAATGTGTCGATATCTGTATTGGCATTGCACAATGTCATGTTTTTTTCTGACTGGTTTTGACGTCTTTACACTAAATCCATTGAAAGTTGGATGTGAACTGATTGATATTTTAGTCTAACATGCATGTTTTTTTTCATTAGTCGTTAATGGCTTTGATATAGCTGTCAGTAACTGCGAGTCCTCTCGCATCTGTACCTAGTGTCTTCCTGCAGTGTAGATATATGAGTACCCCACTTTATGTTTTAGTTAGATGTATTTCTATTTGTATCTATCTGATGAGTTAAGCCTTTTTCAACTAATTTTTATAGTTTGTTCTTATGTTGTACTGTTACACCACTGACCTAGGTTAGGGGAGGGGAGGTGCCTTCAAGCGAGTTTAACACTGTCACATTCTGTGTGTGCCTGTCCCACGTCAGGAGACTGTAATACAGTGGTTGTTTAAGAAATAATTCATGGAAGCCATAGATTAAAATTTTGTTGGAAATTTACACATGGCCTGGGCCGTAATATTCGAATTTTTTCCTGAGCGTTAGCGAGGGATAAAATTAACGAATATCACGGCCCAGGTCATGTGTAAATTTACAACATATCTATGGCTTCCATGAATTATTTCAATTCTAATAGGATAAATAAGGTCATTAAAAAACTGAGGCGGGGTGGGTATGCCGTGTGTATGGCTGTTCTTTTTTACTCCCTGTTAGATAAAGCTAAAACATTCTAATAAATCTGTAGCTTGCATGAATTATTTCGTAAATAACCGCTAGAACAAATGTGCTTAATTCTTTTAATTCTCAAACCCAACATTTGCCATGTTTAATTTACATGTTTTTCTCGTAAGCTACCGGCAAATCCAAAGTTGACATTTCATAACTAAGGAGCCGCCATGCTGACTTGCTGAAATCAGTAAATATGCGAATAATGCAATAGAATAGGAAAATAAAACAACACCTACCTCAAAAATCCATTTTAATGTAATATTATACGAATTTCGAAGGTTCACGTAACGGAAAAACCTTCAGCTTTAGCGTTTTCATTTGTAGGACGTCATGTTTTGAAATGACTAAAATGCGCCAAAAGCATTAATGGACTTTCGCGGAATTCTATTTTATTTTGATTTTGTAGATTTCTCCGAGGTTTTGTGCATTAATTCTTTTTGTTATGCATCCGAATAAGAATAAAAGTTATGTAGTCTTTTTTTCAATTGCAATTTTTAAAACAATAAAATCGGCATAGCGTTTGCAAATAGGTTCCGATACATGTGGATTTACGTAGGAGGCATATTGTAACATCCATTATTATGTATATCTCTGAGTCTGCGCTAAGTATAGATATATCGAGAATTTTATCACGGTGTTGTTTACAAAGCGAAAGAAGCACGTCATATAAGAATGCTCTGTAACATATTTGTTTTGCCTTCATTATATCTTGTACATAAATTAGTTTTCTCGTTTTAGTTGTTTTACAATTATCCTTTTGGTGACTTTTATAGCTGACTATGCGGTATGGGTTTTGCTCAATGTTGAAGGCCGATTGATGACCTATAGTTGTTTGGTTTCTGTGCCAGTTGGTCTCTTGTGAAATGTTGTCTCATTGGCAATCATACCAAACTTTTTTTTTTGTATTTACAAACGAATTGCATTACTAGAATAATCGTTCTGATCATATTGAATAATTTTCTGCTGCTGATATTTTCTTATTTAAACAAAAATTATAGATTGCTTATAGAGTCGACCTTTGTTCCTTTCGGTTGCATAATAGATATCAAAGGTGCCAGGCTTATATATTTTGATACGCCAGACGCGCGTTTCGTCTACATACGACTCATCAGTGACGCTTAGATCAAAATAGTTAGAAAGCCAAACAAGTATGAAATTGAAGAGCATTGAGGATCCAAAATTCCAAAATGTTGTGCCAAATACGGCTAAGGTAATCTATGCCTGGGATAAGAAAATCCTAAATATTTCGAATATTTCATACTTTTGCAACAGTTAATTTATAAAAATGACCATATAATTGATATTCTAATGCAATTATTTTGTATCAATGGTTCTGATTGGATGACAGTTAGCGTAATCTCTATCTCCTTGTCTGTAACTAAGGAAGCCGACATTTTGAATTGCGGAATGTATTGACATGTAATTTCTACAATAATAAGCAAAAAACTCACATGTTGCACCTAGAAATCTTCTTTTCATCAAATTTTATTACATTCTGAAGCGGCCAAGAAGCCAGAAAACGCCCGGTGTTTACGTTTGACGCCGGAAGCATACCTATGACGTCACCTAGTCTAGGGGACAAAGAAGATAACATCTTTTCGCGGAATTTTCTTTAATGAAAACTTTACACTGAAATAATGATTGAAATTGAATTATGTACTTGTTTTGCATTAGAATAGAGATAACTGTATTGTATTTGAAGCTTTGCGGACGTCCATCGGTAGTTTTACTGTCGCAAATACCCGTTTACCTGTCTCCGCTATGCGTCGCCAGGTAAACTAAATTTGCGACAGTAAAACTACCGATGGACGTCCGCAAAGCTTCAAATACAATACAGTTATCTCTTTATTCATGTCATCACCGAAGTGCTGACTACTGGGCTGGTGATACCCTCGGGGACGAAACATCCACCAGCTGTGGCATCGACTCAGTGGTGTAAATAGTCATCAAAGGTACGTAACATAAATGATGAAAACTTACCTTTTGGTTTAGGTGTTGGAATTGGACATACATATGTATCTCTATTTTCAGGAATGATTCGAATTTCAACATTGCATCTTGTTGTACCTATACAACTCCAGCTAGAATCGTTACCAAAGGTAAATTCAACTCTTTTGTGTTTTATATTCCAAGGGAGACACCATTTTTTCTGCAAACTGTCTTTTAATACCTAAAAGAAATTGAGACGAGTTTTGCTTCATTTAGGAATACAACGATGTACAAACAAACAGAGGTGACAAAATCAATGCATAGACAGTCGATAGGAAGCCTATAATTGCTTACATCAACTTAATTTGAACTTCGGTGGATAGTTGCCTTATTTGCAATCATACCACATCTTCTTATTTCTATATCGTTCCTGATAACATTACGAAATACATTTGAGAAGAAGAAAAAAACACGTTGTTTATTTAAAACTGTGGATATCATCAGCAGAGTGGTCAGTGCTTCTTTGCCGACATGAAATACCATTGAAATAGCTGGGGGTTTTTATATAAAATTCTCCCTTTGGTATCTTCCATCCCTAAGTTATTAAGGTGGTACCTAACACTACAGGGAGATAACTCTGTAAAAATCAGCTAAACGTTTTAATCACGTTGTATTGTTAAGGAAATATTAAGCTTCTCAATGATCAAAATTAGTGTTTGTCAAACTGCTATATAACCAATGAAATTTTTCTGATAAAGTGGTTGGTTCAAATTTTTGAAATTTTTATATTTTTGCCAAAGGGTCAAAATAAACATTTTGTCAAAATTTTATGAAAATTAAACGAGCCAAATCAATATTAGTCAAGGTGTTGGGTACCACCTTAAGTAAAATAAAGATTAAATAAGCTTGTTTATTGAAAACTCTAAACTGGTGAGACAGAAAAAGCTTCAGGAGTTCATTCCGGGTTTCTCGTTGTGTTACAGCTGGACAGTATTTAATCTGTGTAGACTACATTTGTAAGTGTTTTCTCGACATCTCAGTCAGTCATCTCTGCGCTTTTTTTTCTTATATAATTGTCAACGTTTGGACTTATTGATTATATTGGTGCCTTAGTTTATTTTTCCACCTATTTTCTACTGTCAATAGTTTGCCACGGAAAAATTAATATAGATCAATTAAAAGATGATCGGTATTGTTAAATTGTTTGACATTATATGTAAACTCTACGTACATTTCATAGATATTCATAAACTTCTGGAAAATTCCAATATGGAGTTCAGAGGGAAGCATTGCAGAACGAACCCCTTTTTCTTGGCATGAAGCTTAACGATGATTAAACGGTTGCCGGTTTTTAATCCCCGTTGATTTAATAATACTTTTTGGCTGATATAAATATAAATATTATTAATGGTATTTTGTCTTCCAATCAACTTGTAATTAAACTCAATTATCAAGCTGGAAATGTTTGTGAATTAAAGTAACGCATAGCTTTTTGTTTACTTCTCACCGTTGCTCTGCAATGCAGCGAACCAGTATTTACACCAGTTAACGTTCCAGCAAGGAAAGTAAGTCCTAATAAATGGTTATCTTAAAATCAGAATCGGGCTTTGGAAGTGAAGTTCACAAAAGTCATAAACCCGCTGTCGTAAGAGGAAGTAAACACACACTTACTGTTGATGCCGTTGATGTTCGTATTGATGTATAAATATCTTATGAACACATTGAATCATATATCATCTAGAAAAAAAATCAAAAACTACTTGTAAGACTATTTTCTTTCTGCTAATTGACAAGTTGCCTTACAAAGAATTTTTTTTTTAAAAACCTTTTCATTGTTGGCCTCTGGATGTTTTGCTCTGGGTTTTCAGTCGTACACGTATACATGTAGTTTTGTCGTTGTTAAGTATATCCCACACACACCGATTGATATTCATAATTTTCATCTACAATAACATTCAAATGTAAAGCAATGTCTTAATTGTATATAAATTTCATACCAATACAGAGTTGTTATCAATTTTCACTTTGACATGACATATATCTGTTCCCCAAGTAAACATGTACGGATGTGATTCAAAACATATTTGAGCGGAATCCTTGACATCAAAAGTTATAGACCGACATGGTGGACACCCTCCATAATTGTTATAGTTTGGAAACTTGTATAAATATTCTACATCTCTATCGCCGAGACAAACTTCACGTCCACAATAATCTGTTACTACAATAAATACATGTAATTGTAAGTACTTTCTTTACTGAAATAGTTATTATCTAGTCTAGTATTAACATTAAAAAACACCAGTTACATGTTTCAAGATAAATGAACAGTTTACTTTAAACCATGACAATTGTTTTTGAATAACTGCACCATGTGACACATAACTAAAGCATGACCATTAAGCTATTTTTTTTTGGTATTTAAGTCACTGGGTTTCATGTTGTTGACTTTAAGCATTTGTGAAAATGATAAATCCCTCCCAAAAAAAAACCACGTAGGACCCAAAACATTAAAAATAATTCGTTTTTACTTTACTTATGCCTTTTTTTCTACCGAAACTATTATGTAAAAGACATGTGACATACATAAATGTTATAATAAAATAAAATTGAGAATGGAAACGGGGAATGTGTCAAAGAGACTACAATCCGATCAAAGAGCAGAAAACAGCCGAAGGCCACCAATGGGTCTTCAACTCAGCGACAAAATCCCGTACCCGGAGTCGTACTTCAGCTGGCCCCTAAACAAAAATGTGTTCTAGTTTAGTGATAATGGACGTCAAACTAAACTTAAAAACATATAAATGAACTAAAAAAAAATCATCCAAGAATATAAGCTTATCGTTTGTTTATGAATAATTTTCGCAATCCTGAGAGCAAAAACTTATGACTAAATCATGACTCTATCATACCAGCTGGTATGAGATAACTATCCAACAAAAACTTATCGAGGATAAAAATGTTGTACGCAAGATGAGAGTTTCGTCTTCAACAGACTAATCAGAACATTAGGACACAAAGTTCCTAAATAAATCTAGAAAAATAACATTTCGACGATTTAAAAATAATAAGGCATTCATTTTGACTAAGAACTACATTTTTCTACCATACTTACGCCTCTTTTTTGGTATTCCATAAAATGTAGGCGTTTTATAGCATGACCAGCAGGGCTGAAATGTGATATTAGTCATCATCTTGTCAAATCTGGTACTGATATTATTAATGTCTGTTGTGGTATTCAAAACATAACGAACATACCGCAGAAATATGGCTCTGGTGGGAAAATGACCTGTCCATGCAGGATTAGAATCACAATCTAGAGTCTGTGGAAATAAATTATGTCTTTTGTACTGAACGACTATCACGATTAACAAGTTGAAAAGTAATTTACGATTAATTTGACCATTATTCTTGTAGAATGGGTGGATTTACAAGACGTGTATTGATTATACATCAGTCAGAGAGGAACCCAGCAAAATAAATAATAGTATTCACCTGCAACGCTTCGTATTATTGTATTTTTAACTTAGTGAACAGTTTCTGTAATTAAGACCTGCAAAGACATAATTATGACTTTGAGATGAAGACCAGCAATGCAAGGCTATTCATCTGCGTTTTGTGATTTTCGCTGTGCATGTATTGATTTTGTGTCATGAGAAGATGCCCCATATCCTTTCTGTTCTATTGCTACATGTTATATGTGAAATGTGTGAACTGCAAACATATGTTAAGTTACAAAAATAAAATGGGTCAAAGTCTGAATTGGCCGGGTTGCAAAATGTGTGATTAATCAATGTAGAATATTTACAATTACATGAACAGATGAAGTGAATTTTTTTTTTAAATATATAATAAGATGAGTTCTTAAGTCTGAATAAATGTGAAATAATAAATCTTCAAACAATTGCATAATCACATGTTTATAACTTCAACGTATATGTGCAAACTGTCTGTGTAGTTAGGTACGCACAACCACTAGCCGTCCCAACATCACCATACTATCAGCCGGCTTCTTCAAACCCGGCCAGAAATACACTTTCAAATGTACACATGCGAGAAGATAATGCCTTTTTTCTACACTTTTTATTGAATACTCTCGAAACAGAAACCAAACAGTTGAAGGAAGAACATTTCTTAAACGGGGAACGAAGGAGGGCTGATGAGACAGTCGTCTGCGGACGACCCGACTGAAATGTTTTCTTCAGTGAGGAACACATTGGATTCGATGGTCTTATGCTTAGCCCATGGGAGGTTTTAATTTCCTCCTGTAGATTATAAATGTTTTCAAAGACAACATCATGAAACCTAACTGGCTGCCAATAAATGCCCTTAATTAGTCCCCTATCGACGAAGTCGAAGGGGACTTTAGGTTTGCAATCCGTCCGTCTATCCATCTGTCCATCTGTCCGTCTGTCCATCCGTCAGTCCGGCAAATCAGCTTTCCACACTTTGTTTCTTCGTTCTTGAAGATGTTGATTTGATATTTGGTATATAGTTTTATCATGACAAGTTATAGATCAAGTTTGAATTTTGTTCCGGTCTGATGATTTAGTCCAGAGTTATGGACCATAACTCTGGACCATATCTAATGTTAGAGTACTATGTTAAACCATATTTCTGTACAAAGGGAGATAACTTATTTTTTAAAAGACATTCTTTGTTAAATTATTTGAAGAATTTTTTGGCAGGTTTGTTTGTTATTTAGTATAAACTAATTTTCTGAATGCTATATATATAAAAAAAATTATGAAGAGAAATCCTTTAATTAGATAATAATCTATTTTTATTAATGTATATATTTCAATACATTACATTGTGTAGATAAAAGTTGTTGACATTTTATAGATAAGTTACAAATCTATATTAGTTTGTGACAAATGAAAGAAAAAATATTTTGAACTATTAATTATATTTGATTATAATTTGAAAATAGATATACACTGTATTAGAATCATATCTAATCTTAGAGAACTATTAATCATATCTAATGTTTTTTTTCACTCATATAATCAGTTTTTCACACTGTTTTTAGTCATGCTTGAAGATATTGACATGATATTTACTTTTTGTTTACACCATGACAAGTTATAGAACAAGTTAGCATTTTGTTCCAGTAAAATGAATTTTATCCTGGTAAGGGACTATGTATTGCCATGCAATACTCTCAGAATGCTTGTTTACTCAATATTTGATTTACCACACATGTATATGTTAACATATTAAAACGATTACTAGTTTAAAATACAATGTCACAAAGCTTTTGCAGGCGAATATTGTTTTTTTGTTTTTTCTTCATTTTGCTGGTTTACTGTCTGATTGACACAAACTTGCGATTGACATGTGTTTCTAGAATGACCGTGGTTAGGTGTGCTTAATACTAAATGTACACAAGTGTCCGTTTCTGGCATTACAAAAGATTTATGAAATATTTCTTGTGTATGATTGTTACCTCAATCAATAAAAAATAGCTGTTTTTGTATCAGAATATCACAATATTTAAATAAACAACATTTTCTCTAACGAGAGGGTACCCAAATTGCACCTATTTTGACGGGTTTTAATCCTACGTTTATTCAAGATCAAGACAAAAGTTTCCATTCTGAGTTTATTTTTTTAGATGTATCATTATTTACTATACGGTTCCACCAATTTAATGTTGAATCCGTATTAAATCATAGAAAAATGGGTTTGAACAGACCGCCAAATGATCCATGGTTCTGTAATGATGAGTACCCAAATTGCATCCATGCTAAAATGCACATCCTTAAAAGTCGAATAACTGATCTTTTGTTTTATTTCTTCAAATATTTAGAACAATTAGACATTAGTCCATGCTTACTATTCATTTTTTAAGAAATGAATCCTTCTAACATATTTTATTTGCTAGTTTTTAAAAGATGACGTTTTGTGGACGTCGCATGGCGACGTTTCCGTACATTTTATTTTTTCCGGTAAACGCTTCATCTGTTGATATTTACCATGTTTACTGTGAAACTTTTGTGTATATTTAAATATATTTACCTATGTTGACAGACGTGCATAGTGTCAAATCATAAAAATACAAATTGTTTAATCTCTAGGAAAACTTGTAAGATTTCCGCTGATATTTTTGCTAAATAGGAGCAATTTGGGTACTCGGTGCAATTGAGGTACCGTGACGTTAAACTTACTTGAATAGTTTTTAAATTAACAAAAGAAGGGTGTATTCGATGTGACACAACTGTAAAAAAAACACTGTTTACCTCGATTTTTCTATTAATTATAGGATCTCCTGGGTAGATTTCTACTTTAAATCCACAATCAAGCATGCTCTCCAAGGAAACTGTCACTTCTATTTTGTTACGTATGTAGGTACTATATTGTAGTTTAACTATATAATAGCAGCCGTCAATGTCGGTAACGTAACCGCTTTCATTCCTGCCTAGTATGAGTTGAACGTCTTCATTTGGGCTTGTCGACAGGATATCAGTATTGCAGTTTTCACTGGTTAGATCAACAACTGTAAAACATTAAATTTAAAATTGTATGCAACATAACTATGCAATCTTCAGTGTACAAATGCCGCTGAGAATTTAAACGCCAGTGTGACATGTTGAGGATTGTGTTTAGATTCTATACGGATAGCATCATTGACATGTTTATTTATTATTTAAACACATGTTTATGTTAAAAAATTCGAACACTGATGAAACACCATAAAAAGTTGTGTTTATCTCAAACCTCTGGATTTCCTATAATAACAGAGTTGGTTCATTAACGGTTGTCCAATATATACAGGTCTTTAGTTTTATACATTAGTTAGACATGTTAGATTGATTTCAAAATGAATAAGAACTTTTCATCAAAAATGAAAACGACAAATTAGATTTCAATGAGATTAATCCAACTTTTTCAGATATCCATCATCAGAAATGTATGGGGAGAAAGTGGATTTAATCCTTGGAGCTCATCCATACATTGTATCTGCTGAAAATGGAGGTTTTCCATTGTTATCCGTTAGGGTACGTAGAAAAGAAATTGCAAAAACTATCTTTTTTCATGTCATATGCATGATATACGTATTATACGTAAATTCATTTTGAACTTATCAAATTCAACAATGAATGTTTTGTTTTATCAAAATTGCACAAACAAATTTAAACTTGTTCAAGTTGATAGGAAATAATGAGCTTTTTTGTTATACAGTAGGGAATTTTGCATACTTGTATTATGTAACTTAACTTGATTTGTTTACATTTCGTTTATCTTTTAAGTCTTTGTTATTACTGTTTCTGTATGTTCTATTTGTATTCATTTACGCTTATTTTTCAAAGGAAAGCTTGTTTACAAGTTAGGAAATTCCACAAAAAGACATGATGGCAACCTGCATGAAGTCATTGAAAGGAATTGCCATAGAATTCGAGAAAAGAGTATTCACACTTAATGAAAGCTATTCATTTAGTTTATATATTTCAATTAACATTGTTTTCTTCATATTTTTTTTTTTTTTAATTAAAAAACAATGACTAGTTTTCCTCGTCTGTATATACTATTCTCAGTATCTACCTTTATTCACTGTAATTGATATAAACAAACCTATTGATGTCAAATAGTTGCTCTCACATTTATGTACGTCTTTGTAGACGACCAAGAAAGATTGATGTTCATCATTAGTTGCTAAACGTCCAGTGGCAACTATTCCATGCATGTTCAGGACGATAACAAATCAACAATAAATAGGAAGGTCCTGTCATAGAGACCGTCCGGGATGTAGGTCTTGGAAATTTGAACTGCCACTTGGTATTCTCTTTTCACGAGGCATCAGATATAACGTCCCCATTCTGACTGGTTTAATGATTGACATGTTAAATGAGCACCTACTTATTTTTGAACATTGTATATCGCCATTTAGATGTTTTCTGTTTGTTTATTGATTTTTTTTTTGGGGGGAAGGGTGGGGGGGGGGGGGAAGGGGGGGGGGGGGGTAGGTGTCGTTGTGTGTTGTCTCATTTACGTATATACATATTCCTCATACCCCTTTTAATCACTTTTAAATGTGTTTTTTGATTTGTTCAAAAAGTAAAATCTCAAAAATACTGAACTCCGAGGAAAATTCAAAACGGAAAGTCCCTAGTCCAAATTTTCATTCCAAGCAGATTTGATAACCTAATATGCTAGTCATACTAAGACACTATTTGAGTTAAATCTTGATTCTAATGCAATTATTTTTAATTGTCTCTTCCATTTTTGACGTAAACTATTAGAATATGTGTTTTATTTTGTTAGATGTATACATACCTTGTTGTACAGTAATAGATGCTGTTAATATTACCAAGAGTAACGCTACGGAGACATGATGGATCTACAATGAAAAAAATAAATGATAGATGTACTTTATTGTATGAAAGAAATATTCAGATTTGTTCTACAATTAGTTGTCCTTAGGGAGCTACCATTTGATTTTTAGGGGGGGGGGGGGGGATTGGATGAAAAATTTTGTCCTGCCTTTTATTTTTCACTCTATTCGGTCCTACCTTTCCATTTATTATTTTATCCTGACTTTTTATATATATATATTGTCATCCTGCCTTTATTTGTTTTGTAAAGTTGCTCATCCTGCCATTTTTGTTACTCATAACTCCTGTCCTGCCTTTTTTTCCAAATTTCATCCTAGTCCCCCACCCCCTTCCATTAAAATCAAATGGTAGCTCCCTTAGATGTTCTCCAAACATCAATCGTAAAGGCATGATATTCAAAGATTGTAGGTTAAGGTTATCCAATCCAGCTCCATGTACTGCAACGGAAAGCGGTGGGAAATTCCCACACGGAGCAAAGCACATATTACAAGTATTAGTTGTCTGAAATTAATAGCTGTTCTACTTCTACATGAACTGTATTGGAAAGTGGGTTGTGATTGTTATTTCTTATTTTCTTTGTTTAGGGGACCGTGAGTCTTTTTAATTTCTCTCTACTAATTTACCAATGTAACTAGACCAAACTTATCGTACATACGTTCAGATTATCAATGCTAGAAGCAAGTATTACAAAAAAAGTAGCCCTTTATGTATAAAAATAAAATGAAATATATCCAGATCGGCAAACCCCGCACTTTCTGTGTGTATCTGATCCATGCCAGGAATCTGTTTTTTTCAGCCTGGGTTTTCGTTTGCTACTGTACATCATTTTTGTTTTTCGTTTGTTGGTATTTTTCCATAAATCAGACCGTTAATTTTTCGTTTGAATTGTTTTTTAAAATCTGTCATGTTGCGGCCTACATGTATACTAGCTTGCTATGCAGATTGGGTTTTTGCTCAATATTGTAGGTCGTACGGTGATCTATAGTTGCTATATTTAGCGTATTTTTGGTCTCTGGTGGAGAATCACCACATAACAAAAAATATTGTATTTACTAGAAGGGAAAGTTCACTGTCATCTTTGGATAACATTTCAGTCATCAGCTTCATGGAACAGCCATATTGATTATATTTATAAAAAAACATGCTCTCGTTTATCTGTGCTTCGACAAGTTAAACATTTACTAGACAGGAATTCACTTATACGTATTTATTATGCTTTTATTAGACCTATATTAGAGTATGGGGAAATTGCTCTTAGCACGAGTCTGAGCTTCTTGAAAATACTCGAGTAGAAGCTGTCAGAATTATAACTGGACAACGGCGTAATTCCTCAAGACAAAAACTTTATATCGAATTAGGATTTGAAACTCTGAGAATAGACGGAATAAGCATAAGCTTATATAAAATATTAGATGGGATGACACCTTCATACTTATATGAGTTAGTCCAGCCATATTTTCCTAGACAAACCCCTTATACTTTGAGGAATGAAAATAATACTTTTCACCCTCCTCTTGCTAGAACTAGCTCTTACTTTAATAGTTTCATTTCTTCCAATATAAGACTTTGGAATAGTCGTCCTCTGAGTATACAAAAATCCCCAAGTTTGTGTATATTTATATATATTTAGAGGTGGACTGGACAAGTTTTATAGGACTGATGAAATATTTTAACCTTTAATCAATTATGGGATAAGGAAACATAATATAAGTCATTGTCAACTCCGAAATAATGATAGCAACCTAAAATCTCATTTGTTTAATCAGTTCTTACCAGAGAACACTATTTGTGCAAACTGTAATCACCCTGTTGAGAATAACCAGCATTTCTTTTTATTTGCCCTAAGTAGTACAATGATGTTAGACAGATTTTACTTGATTCTGTTTACTCAATTGTTGATAATGTTGACATTAATATTGACTTATTACTTTTTGGAAACAGATTATTTTCATATGATATGAATATTGCTATTTTTAAATCTGTTCAGAAATATATCAGTGACACTTACTGTTTTGTTTGAAATTTTCTTAATTTTTGTTTTATTTAGTTTTCATTTATTTATTTATTCATTTATTTATTTAGTTATTTTTTTTTCATTTATTTTTTTTCCTCATCTACATTAATTCATTTATTCCACTTAGTAAGCTTAGTGTCTCTTCCAAACCTTATATATATATATTTCTAATGACTTATAATAGATATTTACATGCATCAAGGTACTTGAATAAATGATGATTAATTGCCTAAATACTTAAATATACTCTACATTTAGTAATTAACACTGTAAATATATATATATTTGCTTGTGTATGCTCATAAGTAGCATGCATTCTCCACTTAAGAATTGAATGCTTCTTTTTGTAAATTTATTGGGGTGTAAAAGCGTTGACCGAAGTACATTTTGCGCTTCATTCTAAAAATGTGCGCACGGTCAACGCTTTTACAACCCTATAAAATTACTAAAAGAAGCATTCAATACTTATAATTACATTATTTTGCTAGGATCATGAAAACACGATTTCTATCAAGTTTTTCTTTTCTTTTTACCTGTGCACTTTATTGTGGAAGCTCGTGTCATCATGAATGTTACATTTCATTTTGAAATGAAGGTTAATTTCAGAATGACGCGAGATTGCTGTTAGCCAATCAAACTAACGTTTAATAATGAAACATACTTCTGTCAAGCTGTATATTATGTATATCTGCCTCTTGTAACAGTGTAAACTGTCAGTGTGTACAATAAAATCTTGAAAATCTTGAAATCTACATGTAATGTAATTATTATAGTACATTGTATTATTTTAAATACAGCTGTTTGATTTATACCTTGTACATGTAATATGGAGAGAGTTTTCATAGGCTGTGCCTGTTGCTCAATCCTTTTCATATCTTAATGACTAAAATATGTTTGAAATCAAATCAAAAATAAAAAAATTTCCACATTGGCAATCATACCACATCTTCTTATTCTATAACTCACAATCTAGTCAAATCTCAAATAAATAAAGGCTCCAATTCCCCCCACTGCATGCTCTGTTCCAAAGATAAAAAAAGCAAAATTTTCAGAACAGATCTGTGCTTGATTTTTGTTTATTACGCATATGTGAACTATATGTATTACCGTAACATAGGGGGTAGTTTATTATTGACATGCAGGAGTTTTGTCAGTGGAAGCTGGTGTTCCTTTATGTTTTTTTTTTCTATTTAAGAGAGTATCAACAGTAAAACGCGTTGGCCTCAACGAATATAAGTGTTTCAACTGTTTATTAAACCACAGATTTAAGTTACCTCACACAAAGACAGTATTTGTATAATAATTATTCTTGAAAACATAAAAATATATTCATTAATTAATTAATATTAAATGAGGAGACCTGGTATTGTGTCTCGCTTCTCTGTCTTCCAGTTCAAATCAATCAATATGGAGCTCTTTCTTAAACGTAGTATACAAACTGTAATTTGTTTTCCTATATGATTGCCATTGCACATATTGCATTGTGTGTACGTTAAAAAAAATTTGGGAAACAAATCGATTTCCAGATGTCCTTCTAGTCTTTTAACCACAGTGAAATTTGACAATTAAAAACAAAAGGTAGAACCGATATATAATGCGTTAAACAATACCAATGGAATAAAACGAACAAGTTATGTGTTGTTGATAAATACATTGTACCTCACAGGGGCGGATCCAGGATTTTGGAAAGGGGGGGCGTAGTATTTAAAGTTCGCCGAGCGGAGCGAGGCGAACATTTTTTAAGACCTTTTTTGGGGCTAAAAAACATAAAATAAGTGTAAAATGCACATTTTTAACGGTTCCTGACGTGAGGCATGTATATTTTATAAATAAAGTGTAAGCTAGGGTTGGACATTTTTGATGCCGCATTCTCCCATTCTGTCCATTATAAAATGACTGAATGGATCATAAGCTATGTACAACTAATATATTTGATGTGGGATTTGTCAGTAAAAAATGGACATGGAAAATTCTCGTTTGTTGTATGGTTAGTTAGCATAACCTCACAGATTTCTTTTTGTAAACATGTATGATGATATGCGGCTATTCAATGAAGTTTATAATACGACCGACACGAACAAAGACAAACAAGCATTTTTTATCCAAATGTTTGGTTGAAATGTTTCACCCAACAAGGGAAGTGAGAGGTCCCAAATCAACCAAAGGCTACGAATGAGTCTGAAAATCAAATGACAACGAAGTTGTGAATGACGGTCGACAAATGGAGACAGGCCACACCCAGTAGGCAGGTTGCAGTTGGGCCTTGAAAAAAGTATTCAGTATATCAGTTCGGCGAAACAGACATTTCGGTCAGATATGGGATTTACATGCAAACCCCCAAAAAAATTTACGCCCGTTTTTTTATTCATCATGTTCATTTAATGCTGAATAATTCTGTTGGATTGTTTTTGTCTGATAGCAAAAAGGGGACACGAGAATTGTTTTCAATACAGATACGGCCAGAATTTTGGTTTAAGGCAAAAATCAGGGTCAGAATTTTTTCTCTAAAATATCTCCGACTGCCCTATCGAATCAAATGGTCCGTACCTTAGACTTTAAATCTATCTAGAGCTTACTGACTGGGGATCACTATTCAGCAATGTTATTAATTGGCTGGGGCGTCTGGGGTTAAACATATTTTTGAAGGTAAATAATATTGCTGTGGAACTTTTTTTTCATGAGAATGTAATAGAGTATTACTTTCTGTTGAGTGGAATTGTGAAATAGAAGTCAATACGTGGTTATCTGGTTCAATCCTTTGTCGCTTTGAAAGAGTCATGCTTGTCATCCTCCGCCGAAAGCAATGTGTTACTGTAATTTAAATTTCAAAATGACTGAGTGACGTTTTTTTCGACGTACTGATCAACTCCACCGTAGCGAATCACATGACTTTGACATAATCAATAATATATTACAGTAAACACGAGCGAAAAATATCTTTATAAGTAAAGAATTGTCGCATAAAAATTAAATACACGGCCGGGTAATGGCAAAGTTCACGAAGTCTAGTCTGATTAATCATTTTACAAAAAAAAAAAAAAAAAAGTTCATGCAAAGGGGGGGCGTACGCCCTCTACGCCCCCCTCTGGATCCGCCACTGCCTCAGATAAATACAAACGTTTGAGATCGATCTAACTATTTTAAATATTTAACATCGGATTCAATGACTCATGAGAATCAAAATGTGTAATTTCTCCGTTAAACACAATATTTGATAATCATTTCCTCAAAGATATTTCTATGCCATTACACTATTCATGATCATACTTGACCCACTGCTGAGGAAAATTAAGGTCGATACACAAGAGCAAAACACACAGAAAGTATATATATATATATGTGTGTTGTCTATTGATTAAAGAATTTTCTTGATAAAATGTACAACGTTTTCTTAAATCGTTATATGAAACAAATATCGACTTACGAGTGAAAAATACATGTTGTTGTTCCAATAACATAATGAATTATCGTCATATGTGATCAATCCTAATCGATAATACTTCCAGGAATAAGTGATTATAATACTCTGCTATCATACGGAATAGTTTAGTGGATATACACGGAATCAACATCAAGTATATTATGTTATTGGAATAATGGTAAATGGTGTCCTTTGCGATTAACTAGTATATATATATATATATATGAATACATATGTACATAGTTTTCTTCTGAGTTATACTAATTACCAGATTAAAAGTTAATGTTCTTACTGCCATAACTAACGCTTTCTGTATCTACATGATGATAGAAGTGTTATTATTTATCAGCAAAATTTAGATTTTAGATTTTCACTATTAAACCAGAAAAAAACATAGTACACGTATTTATATTGCCATACAAAAGCAGTGATAAGACATCTTTTTGATAACAGGAACATGGATGCAATTTGAAAGATTTATTTCAAATCAAAACTGCAAAACATTTTAATTCTGAAAAATAAATGTTAGATAATGACTGTCACACTTTTCCTGTTATAAATAACAAAACTAATAGCTCTTTTTTTTTTTATAAAAAAGAAAAGATAAAATATTTATGTATTACCTCTATGTACATCAAATGTTTTCCTCTGATATCTAATACCTACTGTGCGAAGGTATGTATATAGTCTTTCTTAATATTGTCCCGTACCGCATCGACGGTCTAGTGGTAGCGTTTTCGCTACGAGAAGGGAAGGTCGTGGGTTCGAACCCCGCCTGGGTCAAACCAGAGACTTTGAAATTGGTGTTTGCTGTTTCCCCGCTACGCAAACGGCTTCAAGGAGTAAGAGCAAAAACTGGTCGGCTCGGAATCCAGGTAAGGTGACATGTTACCTTGTGAACAAGCACGTTAAATTCCGACTCAGCGTGTCGGTCTGACCTCTATTTACATTTGTCATTTCGGGTTCGTTTATAGCTGACAATGCGGTATGGGTCAGTTTGCTCATTGTTGAAAGCCGTACGGTGACCTATAGTTGCTCATGTCTGTGTCATTTGGTCTCTTGTGGAGAGTTGTCTGATTGCCAATCGCACCACATCTTCTTATTTTTATATCCTCCAAAAAATATGGTTTACAGTATACACAGGTGCAGAAAATTGTATACTACAACAAGGTAGCCTCCGCCATCAGGGTACATGTAATACGCATATGCAAATGTTGTAAAAAAGGGTAACGATTTTGAATTCACTTGTATATTGATTTTGAAATAAAATGTTAATTCTTTTTAATTGATGTTCTTACTGTTAAAGATTGCTCGCAACATTAATATTTTGGTATAACATTACAGTCTTCAAACTCTCTAATATTGGCCGCTGTATTTGCAAAATTGAATGTTTTAAACCATCTTCCACATGAAGAAACGATCGCGTGTAGTTTCAAATGTATGATATGCATGTGTACATAATGTTAATACAGGAATAAAATGAAGAAGCATTTTTATTGGTCCTCATTTAAATTGTAACAAAGCGGATCTTTTGTGACCAATGCTGAGTTAAGGATGTTCGCTACTCTTGTGACTTTTTGTCTGATTTTCGGAATCCTCTAAATGTGACTATGTAGTACTAGTGCCAATAACAAGTTTGCCTGCTGATTACTATTTTTCTTCTCATAATTTATTACGTATAGTTTAAAAGGCCATTTTTGAAAATCTTATAAAATCCTTGTAATTTTTTCGGATATTTTGAAAGAAAAATGCATGAACAATCTAGAGAGAATCAACTCCCATTAAATTCTTAGTTGCTTATATCTCAAAAAACTAATACACAGACCTGTCACTGTTTTCCACTTTTTAAGTTCCGTCATTTACTATCAATTTATACATGTAATAGTCTTTAGGGAAAACGGTAGTATTTATTCTGCCATAGCCGACAATACTAACATTTTCTAAATTTACCAAGCCACTTGTTATAATAAAAACCTGGACAAAACAGTTATGTGAGGTATTAGTACTTTATTATTCTGTTTTAGAAATTGAAGTCAAATAGTATAATGACCAACTTCCAACGGAGATCGTTTATGTTATCCATGCTCACCGTCATTTTACATCAAATTTATATATGAAATTTTGGTAGCCTTTTCGAATAATTCTCAAGAAAATATTCAAGGGGTTTCAAAATTTATATTGTAAATATACATACTGCAGTTATTCATAGATAAATAAAAAAATATATTGTTCCCTTACATCCAATCACAGCGCTCCTAATTAAGTTGACTTCCTTCACCTGCCTTGGGTACACAAAAGGCCAACCTAAAGCTGGGAAAATGTAATACTACTGTTTTCCCTTTAATCATACCACATTTTTTTAAATTTTAAAACCGTATGTTATTTTGGAACAGAGGAGGAACATCCGGGTTTTTTCTCTTATTCAAATCAAGTGTAATATATACATGAGTAAAAACCTATCGATGGATAAAAGTAGTACAAAATATTGTTCAATATATTGATAAATTTATGTCTATTTACGTTCAGCTGAAATGGTATTTTCATACAGTATATTCAGGGCGATCAACTGTTAAAGATAAACGATCATATCCTGTCTTGTATTAGTGTTGGCCTAGTTCACACTGTAACAGTCTACACGAAGACATGTCATTCTATATGGAAACACTACTCATACTCTGAGCTTAACAGTAAACACAAAAATGAAAGAAGAACAGTTTTGTTTTGTTTTATTAGCTGCGGATGGAATTCCTCCAAACCCATTACACTTGTGATAACTTAAAAACATTTTGTTTTGTAAAATGAATTTGTTGGAGAAGATTCATCAAAAATACCAACCGAATATTACACTCAGTCTAGAATCTATATACTTTACATTCTATAAATAATCACTGATGATTTGCCATTATTATTCAATTCATGTATGCATTCGTGTTAATGAATACATACCCCGCCACATTCTGTATGTGCCTGTCCCAAGTCAGGCGTCTGATGTAATTCAGTGGTTGTCGTTTGTTGCTGTATATCATATTTGTTTTCGTTCATTTTTTGAACAAAAACCAGGCCGTTAATTTTCTCGTTTGAATTGTTTTACATTTGTCATTTCGGGGCATTTTTTAGCTGACTAATTACATGTAATTATGCGGTATGGGTTTGACTCATAGTTGAAGGCCGTACGATGATCTACAGTAATTGTTGTTAATGTCTGTGTCATTTGGTCTTTTGTGGAGAGTTGCCTAATTGGCAAGCATACCACATCTTCTTATTTTCTATGTTCTTTTGTTTACACTTTGCATTCTTATGTATGATATATGTATGATGATGGTTATGCTTTAGGGAAAAAAAAAACAATATTTTCAATGTTATAAACTGGATTTACACCTATGCTAAGCTCTTGGAGAATAAAAATTGCACTTTACTTTGCAACTTTTTTTTAAAGCGCTAACATATTCCTCGTTTACGAACCAACTCTTTATACTTGTAATCAGCTACCACCCCCCCCCCCCCCCCCCCCCCCCCCCCCCCCCCAGCGGGATCCCAACCCTCCCTCTAACCTGGGACAGTGGTGTAACAGTACAACATAAGAACGAACTATAAAAATCAGTTGAAAAAGGCTTCACTAATCAGATGGATAAAAATACAAATACTACAAATACAAGTGGACGTGGCCGGGTACTTGTACATCCCAACAACAAAAAGACACAGATCTGGGAGTACTCGAAGTTACTGACAGCTAATTCAAAGCCACTAACAACTAATACAAAAAAATCATGCATCTAAGACTAAATTATCAATCAGTACACATCCAACATCCAATGGATTTAGTATAAAGACGTCATAAACAGTCAGAGAAAAACATGACCTTGTGCAATGCCAAGATACAGGTATCGACAGATTGTAGATCCATGAATGTGTATATGTATATAACAATAATATTTAGTTTGCTTTTAATTTACTGATAACAAAATCAATATTAATACCAGAGTATGAATGGTTCTTTTCCTCGTTGAAGACCCTCCAGCTACTTTCAAGATGAAGAACAGGAATAAAAGCCCTGTTCATTGATAATTTGTGTTTTTCTATGTATTGTGTGCGATTTTGTCCCATGCACATCTCTTTATTTTCTATTTTAGGGCCTAAACACGGCTCAATGCAAGTTTAGCCCTTCAATATTAAAGGTCATATGTTACATTATTGTTTCGGATAAGAGTGAATTTGGTACCTATTAAAACGTTTAAACCCGCTGCATTTGTTTGTACCTGTTCTAAGTCAGGAACCTGATGTTCAGTAGTTGCCGTTTGTTGATGTGGTTCATAAGTGTTCTCGTTTCTTGTTTATTATATAGATTATACTGTTGCATAGTTTTCCCGTTTGAATGGTTTTGCACTGGTCATTTTGGGGCCCTTTGTACCTTGCTGTTCGGTGTGAGCCAAGGCTCCGTGTTGAAGATCGTACTTTGACCTATAATGGTTTTTTTTTACAAATTGTGACTTGGATGGAGAAATGTCTCATTGGCACTCATACTACATCTTCTTATATCTATATATGGTCTTTTTAAGTGAATTGGGAGATTGGGATTTCTAGCTTTAATCTCACCCATGTCAGCTTTTTATTTGTATTTACAGAAAAGAGAGCTAGTTTTGTATTCTTTAATATACTGTATCAGTTTAATTTTCCATGAAAAAGGGACAGTTTTTTCTATGTCCGGTAGCATCGTATCATATCTGGACATCGGCTGTTGTCTGCTCTTTGGTCGGGTTGTTGTCTCTTTGACATATTCCCCATTGCCATTGTCAATTTAATAATCGGTAGGCATGTAAAATTGCCAAACCATACACGACCGTTCATTAGTCATCGTAGATATATTCCAAGTTTTAATAAGTCTACAAAAAGCAGAAAAGGAACTTTTACAACAAGGAATATTACACAACTGAAGCCATAGTCATAAAGATCGATTGATTGATTGGTGTTCCTTTAACGTCGCCGCAAAACATAAAAATATTACCTGATCTTCAATCTCAACATCTTCCATCTCTATTGTTCCCAAGGAAGCAACCATTTGATTCTCTGGGGTGGGGCAGGGATTTGTACCC